GCACTTAACAGCATATACAATATTGCTCTGTTTGTGCCGGGGCACCGGATCTTTGGGGTGAACCAGCCTTTGCCGTAATGTGTTTTAGGGTTTGAAAGCCACTGGGACATCATGTTTAGAAAATAAATGTCTCATTTTCTCAAGAAGTCTCTTGGAGGAGAGACGAAATGTTTCATTAAAGAAGAACCCGTCCAGAAGACCTATACAATTTTTTTATTTTTGATTTTTTTACCTGGATTACTGAGATGCATCAGGACGTTTGTTAGACTGTGGCTAGAAAGGACAACGTTATTTAGCCTACTTTATGCCCACTTCATTTATTTGTATATGGGCTGTTTCTTTACCTGTGAATATAAAGGTTATTTGTTCTGTAACTGCTTGGGACACTTGAGTGTTTCTCACGTGTGATGGGTCAAATGCAGAGCACAGATTTCATCATTGCATGCGAACAGCCATTGATGACAAATAAAGTACATTTATATAATAGGCTCACTTCATGAATGATGAACTGAAACAGCAAAACTCCATAATGTAACGTTCAGGTAAAAAAATAAACATACTGCAGTTTTTAATCTGATTTTCAGGTACAGTTCAGGTTAAAGACTAACTTTCACCATTTTACCTTGATAATAAGCTGGTTTTCGATTGTTTTATTAATCCAATCATTTTAGTAAAATGCTCTTCAGTTGACTGGAAAATGCATAGTTTGTTGTAGATTTTTTAAAAATCTTCTGGGGGAGCATGCCCCCAGACCGCCCCAGAATTGGTTCACTCCACAGCAGTTTGTGAATATTAATGCGTCTCATTGATGTTGGCAGGTTTCATGTAGGCTTCTGACATTCTGTTTTTAATTTAATATTTAATATAATATTATTATTTATATGTGAACATACAGTATGTAAACAAGTAGTGAGATTTAGAAAATTGCATCAACAAATATCCTCCCTAGGGTCTTAGCTCTGCTGGGGGCTAAGCACCCCTAAATGTCAGATCCTAGAATTGCCCCTGGCTTCTTCTCAATTAAGTTTGCATCTACAGTATCATGTTTGTGAAAATTTGAAACCGACAAGGTAGACAAAACCACAAAAGGCTTGAGGGTAAAGGAAAAACTAATTTTAATGACAGAAATCAAAATGCTGACGTGGCAGCCAAAATACTTACAAAAATGAGAGACACCCTGAGGAACACAAAGTAACAAACAAGAAGAGAGCTGAAGRGTGTGTAAGGCACAGAGGAGGGAATGAATGAAGTACACAGAATATAAAGTTAACACTAGCAAACATAATGATGAACACCTGGGGACAGACAATGAGAATCAGGGGAGAGTGGGCAGGGCTTGAGCAGGAAGGAAGACTGACCTGATGACAGGAAAACCACAAAAATCTAAAACACAGATAAAAAAACTGAACCAGGAAGAGAAGAAGGATAAAAATAAGCTCAGTGAACTACTAAAATGTAACAGAAGACAAATATGACACAGCATGAGTAATATTTATAATAACAATAGTAATAATAGTAACAATACTACTACTACTACTAATAATAATAATATTATAATAAACAGTAATGTCACGCTTATTATTTTCTTTCCTCTGGCAGTTTTAGAAAAATAATTCAAAGAACACCAAAAAGTGTGGTTTGATAGGAATAGTGTGCTCTAACTTTTGGTAACAGTGAATCATACAGTTTAGAGGAAATTTGCAAWGAATTAAAAAAATAAATAAAACTACTTTATACCTCTTTGGAGCTTCTTACCTCAAACATACTGCCCAGTAGAAACATCAGTCAACGTTTAAACTGGTCACAGAAAGTTGTTCTACTCATGACTGAACTGGTGTTTTGAAGTATTTTACTGTTTTAACACAGTAAAATTTTACCATAGAATGTTTCATATATGATGTGTTTTAGTTGTTTTATACTTTCTATTATGTATTGTACAAAAGTAAGTCCTAATACTTTTGGAATTTAAGGAAAAAAAGTTGATGGATGACTTCTCAGGAACAAAAAAACATTATGAGGTCAGTTTAAAAGTTTTAAACAAAACATACAGTTGTATCACTTCACATGAACAAGTTTTCTTTTAAACATTTCATTCTATTAATTTACAAATTGTGTTTATTGTTAATAGGAAGTTTCAAAAGTAATGTAAAAATGTGTCAAACCTTCGACATAAACTTTGTATAATGTAAAATACTGAATTATTTTGTCTAATAAAGAGCCTGTCACATGTATAGTATATCCTACAAATACAAAAAGAGGAAGAAAGCATCTTAATATTGAATAAATCTGACAAAAAAAACCAACATTTTATTCATTTTGTGTCATAACGGGCATATTTTATGTTGAACTTGGTGAGGCAAAAGTGAAACAGGAAGTGACATCACAAGGCAACTTCCTGGTCTTTGTTTATAGAAACTATATTATTTGAACTCTTTTTATCTCTCTCCTATAGTGATTCAAAATCATCTAAAGAAACATCAGATTTTTTGTTAGTGTCTGTGTTGTAAACAGAACATGCAGGCGTTCCTCTTCCTGTTGCTGTACGTGCAAATATGGCAGCAACAGGTCATATCAGTGGAATGATTTATTTTTGCAACGTTATTATCTTCCCAAAAATGCATTCATATTCATCAAAGACTAATGAAAAATGTTGCCTACAGCCCTTCAAATATTTTTGACACATTCACACAGTAATGCTGAAATGCATCCAGAAAACTTTAAATAAGATTAAAAATGTTGGTACCTCACACATCAGTGTCAAAAACTACTGATGATTAAAAACTGTAAATAGAAAGGATCTTGTTCTTTTTGTGATTTAGATATTATCTTACCAGAAAACCGAACAAAAAAAAACACTTAAAAATAGATAAAATAACACGAATCAGCTCAAAACCATCGAAGAGTCATAAGTTTTATACACTAACAATATTTTTTATTTGTTTCTCTGTGTTTATTCCGTACTGTTCTGTGGACTTAAGAGTTTAATAAAGTTTTGATAACTAATGTTTTAAAATTATAAAATTATGATACCAGTGAGGCAGACGTTCATTCCCTGAACCAGAYTTTTCAATTTGTCATGCATTTCCTGTGGAAAAAGACTAAATATACATTGCTTAATGTTTCTTTTATTGCTTTTTTATGCAGAGTTGTTTCTTATTTTTCTCCCCACCGTAGGTCAAGGCAGTACCACATGAAAACAGCTCAGTTCACAAACCCAACAACCCAGTAAAACCCAGTTAAACCCAATTAAATCAGGAAGATGAATGCCTCCTGCACCCACAGGATCYGTTGTGAAATAACAATTTAAACTTTTAAACAATTAAAACTGAAGCAGTGATGCGTGCGTATGTGTCCACCCCTTTGCCTTACATCCATTACCTTCAGAATAACCCATGGTGATCTCAGATAATAAGATGGGGAATGAGGCTGTTTTCTGTGTCCTGTTCCTGTACAAGCTGCTGACTGATAATTTATCTTCTAAATTTAGTCTCATAAAATGATTTTTAAACCTAACAGCTCCACAGCAGGTTCAACAGAATGTGTCCACAGGACAGAGTTATTTCCACTCTGCTGGAGCTGTCTGCAGTTCTGATCACTGCCAACGGGCCAAATAATAATAATCTGACCTGTACCGCGTCATCACTGCAGAAAACTAACAAAACTGAGAATGAATCAACAAAAACAGCTTCAGTTCCATTTTAAATTTGCCAAATAGTTGGCAAACACATGGAACAAAAAAAATACACAGCAAGATAAGTAAATGAGCAATTAGCAGTGTTTATTAGGAGGAGCTACTTTGTMGGACCACTATATTTTGTTTTGCCCTTATGGACCGGCAGCGCTTGCTTCTTATATAGATTTGACATAGATGTGTGTTGGACTGCCAACAGCTGTCAGCTTTTAGTTGACACTGAACAGGATCTTGTGTTTTGTTGACAGACTGTCCTAAAGGACATAAAGGAATGGTTGGATGTCCATCCCAGAGAGGTGGTGATTCTGTCCTTCAGCCACTTCCTCGGCCTGAACCAGGAGCTCCACGTCCTGCTGCTCACAACCATCCGCAACATCTTCACCTCCAAGCTCTGCCCCAAAACGGTACAGCTCTGCCTCCTGTGCTTTGATCAGGCAGACCACCACCAGCAACAACTCAAAGGAATTTTATTACTAAGCAGGGCTGCGCTGTATATGGAATAGACAGTATAAACCAGATGAAGTTGGACTACAGTAGAAATTTATCCTCTACCGTCCTGTCATCAGTTACGTCATCACACCTGTGTCAACAGGGCTGCGAGTGCAGAYACAACTGAGCAGGAGGAGTTCAAATACAGTATAATGAAGAAATATAGTTTTAAAACACATATAGAGAGAATAAATCCTCATAACTTCCTCCCTCCCACTGTACGTCGTGCAGAGCGAAGCTTTAACAACCGTAGTTTTTTCACACCCAAGCTGTTGGAGAAAAAACTTGTTTTTATGTATTGTTACCCAAAGAGATGATTTAAAAAAAAAGATGTGGACGTTCGTTCAGTCATAAATCCATCTTACTAATGTCGATGTCAAATTTATTTGTATAGCACATTACAAAAGCTGACCAAAGTGCTTCACAGTTCAGTCAAGACATCAAAAAATAAACTAAAAATAGGTGCAAAAACAGAAACACAATATATGAAAAAGTCAGGGGTGCCCAACCTTTTTTGAACCAAGAGCTACTTTTGCAGTTGGCAGTTTGCCGAGATCTACTCGTCCAGTCTCAGTAAAAAACATATTTTTTCATCTCCCTACTCCTCACTTATTTAAAGGAAATAAAACAGAATGTAATG